CTCAGAGCTTGTGGAGAATGTCGCAACAGCCAAGTTTGCACTAAAATCATCCAAACTTTTGCTGGAAACCATGATCGAGGGCCGTGACGACTACCGAATGCGACGAGAGGACATCATCGACACCGTCATTGATCTTACGAAGCTGATCAAGGACTCGTGCATCATTCCTATCGTTCAATCACGGCGTTCTGGCGAGGCTCAAGATTTGTTCAATGCGGCATCAGCTTACAGACAAGAGTTACAGGTGGTGTTACGACTGTGTGGAGCTGTTCTTGCCCGGTTTGCTACTCTCATCGGCAAATACAACCTGCCAGACCGAGCACTCAACACCTTGGAGTATCTGACGCTGGAGTTACTGGTGGAGCAGAACAGCGAAAGCGAAAGAGACTCTGTGTTTACCATCAAGAAGTTTGAACATTTCCGCCAGAAAGCTATGGATGTTCTTGCCCAGATTTTCGCTCGCCATCCAGGCCAACGACGATCCATTGTGAATGGTATCCTCGGCAACCTAGAAAAGCTGCCCGATAAGAAAGCGAGCGCGAGGCAGTTTTTGTCGGCTCGAGAAGTTCCTATCATGACGATATCTGCACTGTTCATGCGATTCGTTCAGGTTGTCGCAACAAATCCGACCACTCGTACTGCGTCACAGGCAGACAACGTGCTTGCGAACATGGCCGAGGACGATGTTAGCGACTACGAGCCTGGTCAAGCACCCCTCAAGAACTCAAAAAGAGCAAACGGAAGCGAATCGCCTGCGATAAAAGCTCAGAGACTAAGCACGGAGGCTGCCGCTGAAGCCTCATACATCGTGAAGGAACTTTGTGACAAAGCATCGAACACTTCTAAATCGGGCGACAAACCATTCCGCAATCTTCTGGACTTGTTCATAGATGACTTCTGTAACGTCCTTGGTTCTCCCCAATGGCCAGCTGCTGTTGTTCTCTTACAGATGTTCTTAGTCCGCATGCGAACCATACTCGTGGATGATCAGGGGACCAAGCACTCTGTAGTCGACAAAGACATGGCGCTCACAACCATGGCGACGATCGGATGCGGCGTTATCGACTTTAGAGATCAACTTAAAAAGATGAGGCAAAGGCTGGATATCTCACAGTCAGATTTGTCGTCAGGACTAGATCGTCTCGTGAGCGATGCCTTGAGTGAAGACGTCAGAGAGAGGGTCAACGATGTGGATTTACTAGCTTTCGATGGCCCTTACCGCATGGTTCTTGAATCTTTGGTCGGCTACCTCGATCTGCAGCCTTCTCAAGAAGACCCGCATCTACAAGCTGCGACTGGCTTTTATGTCAGTTCGTGGCTCACGGCTGTCGTCAAGACATTTCCCGAGCGAGATGAGGGCCATAGGCCTCAAGCTATCGCGACTGTTCAGCAATGTTTGGAAAGCATGATTGCGGACCCGAAGTGGCTCGCTCAAAAATAGTAAGTTTCCCAACCGATCCAAGACCGTTCCGCAGCTAATACCATCTGATAGCAAATTCCAGTCTGTATCGGATGATCAGAGCAAGCTAGCTGCTGGTGTCATCACTTTACAAAGCCAGGTGTGCAGATACCTCTCGCAGATTGTCAATCACATGCAGATTTACGCCCGGGACAAGAGTTCCTCGAAGCTCCGCACAAGAGGAACAGCAGGACTGCAACAGCTGCTGGACAAAGACTCAAGGGTTATCTCTGACGAACATATCATCAACATGATTCCATCACTAAGAGATAGTTCACCAATGGTTCGAGAGGCGACACTATCGCTTCTTTCGAACTGCCTGGCTAAGGAATCATCTCTCGAACGACATGTTCTGCCACAAATTTTGGAGATGACTACCGATCCTTCAAATGGTCCCAAGAAGAAGGCTATCAAGTTGCTCAAAGAGATATACCTCCGCTCCGATTCGAAGCAGGTGAGGCTGAAGATCGCTGGTCCGCTACTTCTACCTTCGCAGGACAATGAGAACGCTATCTCTGAGTTGGGTCGCAACGTGCTCGAAGAGATATGGTTAACGGCTGAAAAGACCGATGACAGTCAGCACAGGCTCAATCGTGCCCAGCGAGCCGTCTTCATGGTAGATCTCTTGGAGTCTGTCGAGAAAAGCTCCGCACACCTAGAAGCTTTCGAGAAATTCTTTGTTCACTGCCTATCACCCGAAGCCAAGGGTCCGGCTGCCAACCTCAAGATCTGTGGACAGCTGGTTGCGGACTTGGTAGACGAAGTCATTGATCCTGAGAATGGCACAGACACCAAATCCCAAGCACGTGTCATGAACACACTCAGCGTCTTCGCAAAAGTCAGGCCGACCTTGTTCACGGTCGACTATCTGCGGCACCTAAAGCTCTACATCAAGATTATCGGCACCAATGAGGACGTAGCCCTTGTGCGGCCGACAGTCGTCATCTTCCGGCATGTCCTGCCGACACTTCCTCCTCTTCAACATGCTTTTGCAGAAGAGATTCGACTAAGTTTGTTGAAAAACGTTCCAAAGCTGGCTAGCTGCGTATCCATGGCTTGGCCCAGAAGCAGAGAGACGCTTCTTGATGTCGTTCACTGCCTGTGGGCCATCAGCAAGATGCCAGGTATGGACGCTGACAAAATCTTTGGCACAGTTTGCTCAGTCATCTTAAATCTCCGGCCATTCCTAGGTTCAACTAAGGAACAGGCAGCGGCTAATCGTAAACGCATCCTTCCCTACCTGATATTGCTTGGCACATTCGGCCAGGTATGCAGCTTTGACCAACAGGCTGAATCATTCATTGCCAAGCTTCGCACTTCCATCAGTAGCAATGAAACGGTAAAGAAGCAGATGGAGCCGATGTTGAACCAGAAGAACCCTCCACCTCCCTCTCTTATACTGTTAGACACCGTTCGACCTTTCACTATGCAGACTTGGGAGCTAGAGTTTCGCGAGCAAGCCTTGCAAAGCATGGGTGGCATATGCCAGCAGTCGCCAGAGCATTTTATGCGTGGTGAAGTGGAAAAGGTGGTCAAGCTTGTGTTTGTCAACGAGGGGAATGACTCTCTCAAGTATATTGCATTGTCTTTCTTTAGACAATTCTTTTCCGTCGCTGAGCGGCGCTCTGAGACCGGCGCGCAGATTGCAACAGGCAAAGGAGCTGCCAATGGTTCTGCACGCTTGGAAACATCCTTTACCGCTACAGGAAACGACCATGCCACGTTGCATCTGGCGCAGAAGTTCCTGGAATACTTTGTGAAAGCTGCGTTGGAAAACAAAAACGATTCTGCTGTTATTGCCACAGACATCATTGCCAGTATCAGTCGGCAAGGTCTCGTCCACCCGAAGGAATGCGGTGCTGCGCTTGTCGCCCTGGCGACCTCACCGAACCCAAACTTGGCTCGAGTTGCAGCGGATGAGCACAGGCGCATACACGAGAAGCAAGAGTCGTACCTGGAAAAGGAGTACATGCAGGCTATACACATGGCTTTCAAGTACCAACTGAACATGTTTAGCGATTCTCATGGCATGGTCGAAGCCACTTACACCCCGAAGCTTGCAAAGCTGTTCGAGGCACTGAAGACGGGCAAAAAAGCCAGTCTTAAAAAGTTCATTACCAACTTTTGTAAACAGGTTGATTTCGACCTTGCCAAACTGGACATCAGTGGTGCCGTACCTGAGCCCGTCTTGTATGCTCGCTTCTGCTTGGAAAACCTCGCCTTGCTCGACTTTCCCCATCAAGAAGAGCTTGCTGTGTTCCTCAATGCAGTTGAAGCCATGGTCCTCAACACGATAGGGCCCGCTATCGGAGTTGTCATCGCGGACGAACTTCCAAAGCAATATATGGATGTGGCGCAACCTTTGCCTCAAGACATGTTCCAACAACAAATGCTAGAAGCTCGTGGTATAAGCCCGATGTCACCCATGCTACCAGCTGGGATATCGACAGCGCCTCGACTTGTTCCTCCAGCAATTGACAATAGCAGACTTCGCCAGGTTACCACAGCTTGTATGATCCTGCAGATGGTATGGGAGACCCGCACTTTTGTTCGACGATGCTACTCCGTCAAGAGTAACGCACCCATCTCGCAAAAAGATTACGCCAAACCCGCGCATCGGAACAATCTCGTTACTGGCAAGGAAATTTGGGAACGCTTCGAAACGATCATGCGCGCGCTTGATAGCCGCGAGAGCATGGTGAAACAGTGCTACGACTTTGCAGATTTGCTGGACGTAGATCGTGAGACCTTCATTGATGCCGAAGGAGACGATGCACTTGGTGGAGGGTACGAGACGCCGAATGAAAACGGTGAGGACGGCACGCCGTTACCTACGAGCGGTCGCGGCAGGAAGAGGAAGAGCAATGTGAGCCTAGGCAATACACCAAAGAAGGCAAGGGGAAGGCTTTCTGGATCGAAAAAGAAGCGTAATTCTAGGACACCGGATGGCGATGGCGACTCAGACTAGAAGCCCTGACCGCCCAGCCACCGAGTTTGACGGCGAGAAAATACACCTGGCACGGAAGTCCTACGCCCGTGTGATGATAACTAGCACACGAGCATTATTCGTCGCGTACGTCACGTGAAGCGGAGGCTTGGTACTTTTTCCCAACTATTAAGCATGAAATCGGCGTTCGGAGGCAAAGGCATATCATCGATACCCCTCAGCATATGGTACTGCCATACAGTGTATTTGGCGTTTCTCATTTCATGTCATCGCAAGGCTCATGGCTTTTGCGGGAATCTTTAGCATGTCGAATCCGGATAATTGAAATCTACGACAACATATTTTTTGAAAATATACCTCCTTCTGAGCTTCTGTGACGTAGCTCAAAAAATATTTAATATAGTACGTATTCTATTTTCGATTATAATCTGCAAACAAATGCATTCGACCGAAATCGTTGCATTCTTCGTTCGCTTTTAACATTCTCTTATGGGTGCTTCACGCTCGGCAACACCTGTCTACTGCCTTCTCAACATCTAAAAGGCGACGAGCGGTATCTTCTCCCTTGCAGTCAAGTTGTTTACCTCGGTATTGTCAGTCGTGCTCCACATGTACATGATCATCGGGTCGCCTGACAGCAGCGTGTCCCGTAACCATGCTTTCTTCCTCCTTCGCACCATGAGCGCTATCCTGAACATGATCACCCTTGTCTATATCCAGCGCATGTGGAGACTCCGTGCCAAGCTTCTTGAGCTCGATGCCCATTGCATTAGAATGGGAGGACCGGGAGATCTCGTCTTCGCCGCTAGACCCGCTGCTATATGGCCGATCACTACTCCACGTACTTTTCATACGTGTCGCTGTTGGACTGTAGTCTTTTCTTTTGCGGCGCCGTGATGCTGAAACATTGCTGGATAGATTTTTAGGAGCGGTATTGAGAGGCGCCACGACGTGTTCCTTAGGGGACATGCCTGCGAAAGAATGGTGCGAAATTGTTTCTGTATTGGAGGAAAGGCTTCCAAGTGTGTTGGTGGGGACAGATGGATGGCGCGTGTCCGAGTACTTGGATGAAGGAGGAGATGTGAGTGGTTGAGGTTCCATGCTTTGCAAGCGGAGGGCACCGCTGGACGCTTCTTCTCTAATCTGCTTACGTTGAGCGTCTGTGAGGCCAGGGAGAGAGTCTGAAACATCGATCACCCGTACGTCGGTCGGACCACCCTTTGACATCTGTCAGCGCGCATGTTAGATTGAGAGTGGCCGTGGTACGTACAATGTTCAGGCCGGGCTTTGGCCTATCTTTGTCGCAGATCAAATACCGTCGAAATCGCATCATGAATATCTTGAAAGCCATCTTATGTTGGCGGTGCGTATGTGTGATGCTGGACTTAATAGGCAACGAGATACATGTACAAATCTAAGAAAGACGGCAGCGACCAAATTCAATTTGTGAAGGACGTGGATACCACGCTAAAATGGCCAGTAGAAATAACCACAGACGAGAAGGGACCAAGACCGGAGGAGATCATGAGGATCTACCCGAAGAGCGACATCAGAGGAGACTGTATGGATATGGACGAAGATTTTTGAGAATTGAGCCAGAGATCTACTTACTTAGCTCATCATGTGGCGCTGGATCGCTCCTTGCGGTCTGCAGTCATTGTCCCGATCTGACATTCCTTTGCTTAGGATGGGGATGGGCGAGTGGGAATCGTGGCTGCGGAATGTAAGGAGCCGTTCCGTGCTCCAAACCTTATAGTTTTCAAACATTCGAACAAAGAACGGTCCCAAGAATTTTGAGAGGATGTTTTGAAAGCAAGCAGATCCACTGTGGCTAAGACCAAAGTCTGGAGGCTGTGATTGTTTAGCTGGTCGCCAGCATCTCGGTTTGTGGTACCTTTTGTGATGCTAAGCCTCATGCTTCGTCAGGTCACAAAAGAGGAGGCGTGCATTCGACTGCCATTCTGCCTTGCTTTTGACTTCAGTCCTATGCGAATCGATGCGTGATGATGCTTGAAAAAGGTGCTAGTGGGCTCTGGTAGATGGATCCGTGATAAGGCGACGATCTCTGAACGTGTCTTTGGGGTAACCCCACAATGCGCGTTGACCATAAATTGATCACACCACGTAATAATCGTGTAACCATGATTTCAATGATCTCGATTTTGTCACTGATGCACTTTTCTTAGATCTGACGATGCCACATTGTACTCAAGACGGAAGATGCATAGAATTGGGTGACATGTCTCTAGCAGGTACTGGAACGTCCTGGAGGAGAGAAGGACGACCACTCATTCGTGGAGCCTCCGCTTTCCATATGGTACCTTCTATTTCGGGTAATCCTTGACGTGGTAGCTCTTGAGCTTGACGAATTGATCGAAGCCGAATCTGCTTAACGTTTGGCCTCTTCCAGAGTCCTTCCAACCGACCCACGCCAGATCCTAAACGCGTCAGTTAAATATTCAACTGGAACCAGGGCGACTTACTGGTGCGGGGTAGTCGCATCGGTTCACAAAGACTGTACCAGCCTCGACGTCGTCGGCGAGCTCGTGACCTTTGTTCACGTCCTTGGTCCAGATGCTGGCTGTCAGTCCAAATTGGCTGTCGTTCATCAGCTTAACTGCCTCTGCGTCGCCCTTGACCTTCATGACTGGGATCACGGGACCGAATGTCTCCTCTGTCATCACAGTCATATCATGCGTGACATCCGTCAGAAGCGTCGGAGCGACGTAGTTGCCATCTGCAGGTGGGTTCTTGAATGTGGCATTGTCTGGAGTAGCGTTCTTGGCACCCTTCTCCAGAGCGTCCTTGATGTGCGCCTGAATGGTTTCTGCCGAACGCTTTGAGACGACCGGACCGACGTGCGTGCTCTTGTCGAATGGGTCGCCGAGTCTGTACCCACTGAGTACATCCTGAAGTGCTGATACAAATTCGTCATGAATTTTCTCGTCCACATATACCCTCTCGACACTGCAGCAACTCTGACCTGAGTTAAAGACAGCGCCGTCTACAAGCTCTTCGGCAGCCCACTTGACATCAACGTCGGAACGCACATATGCAGGATCCTTGCCTCCAAGTTCAAGACCTACTCGAAGTGGTACACGATCATTTGCAGCCTGCTGAACCGCAAGGCCGTTGGCTACTGAACCGGTGAAGCAAACCAGCTGGATCTTGGGTGAGCGCGCAATTGCCTCGATCTGGGTAATGGATCCGCTGTGAAAGATTTGAAGCACACCGTCTGGTAAACCGGCTTCTTTGAAGATCTGCTGGATCTGCTCGGCACTGGTCGGCGTTTGTGGGGAAGGCTTCAGGATGACCGAATTACCGGCAAGTAGGGCAGGTACTAGCGAGTTGATGAGGGTTAGATACGGGTACTGCAGGTAAAGTCAGCATGTGCGGAGCAATCAGAGGCTGTCGCCACACGCACATTCCACGGGAACAAGATCAGTACCGGCCCAAGCGGAACTTTCTTGATGTAACGCTTGAAGCCTTTTTCCGCCTCGCCTGGAGTGTCTTTGAGCGTATCTTCACTGATCTTGAGTAGATACTCGCCGCGCATAACTGCAGTCGTAACTTCCTTCGCGGTATACGCAATGGGGCGGCCCATCTGCTCAGTAATTTCCTTTCCCAGCACATCCTGGCGGTCATTGAGAAGCTTCAGGGCTTTCTTGACAATGTCCTGCCTCTCAGTGAGGGATGTGCGACGATAGGACTCGAACGCAGCTACGGCTGTCTCAGGTAAAGATTGGAGATCTGCATCTGAGAGGCCATTGCGTGTGAGAACTGGCTTGTTCGTAATGGGAGAGATGGTCGTAATCTTTTCCAGCGACATGGCGGTGGCGTGTTCTTGGTACGAAAGTTATTTGGATAAATTGAGATGGAGATGCACTGTGCGCAATGACCAGTGTTGATCTAGTGGCGTCTTGCGAGCAGTTAATTTTGAGTTGAGGCTTTGCCCGCAGTAACATCGGAGATGACGTATGACAGGCTAACACTAGCTCGTGCACGTCCCACTTTAGTGGAGGACATTCACAGCTTGCGCCGAAAAACGGACTCCCATACCCGCCTTCAATAGATATCAGTGAGCTCTCTGACGACTGTTATCGAGATAACGCGGTTTTTAGATAAGTAACGAAGAAGCGATTCCTGTACCAGTATTACAGAAGAATTGTCAACTGGTACCCCTCCAGTGTTTTAGTACGCCGTAGGCATTGACTTGCCCGTACCATCCTCCGCAAACTTGGTAATCTACAAGCACACGTGGCCTTCCTCCCTCACTTAATCGGAGACGATCGTGGCTGAAGTCAAGTTGCTGAAGTGCTGATAGTGTGGATTCGGGCCTTTTCTGATTGCCTCACTGACATGCTGCTATTATGTACGAAAGCCAAAGACCCGCGCCGCAAGCCACCAACCATGAAATGATGGTACTGATCAACGCCCCCTCCATCTATGAACAAGATGGCGAGCAAGATGTGCGGCATTGCCGATTCATCCACACAGCCAGATCGTACGGGGCCCACATGCGCAGTGTTAAGAGACCAGCTACAAGAATCTGGCAGGTGTACCGATTACACCCTCCTTGCTGGAAACGATATTCATAGGGCTGGCTTCGCATCAAGCAGGCAGTGTCTCGAGCGGAGCGTCAGAAAGAGAACCGTATGGCTCTTTTGGGGGACGTCGCTTCGTAGACCTTTCCTCTCATTTACGCTGATTACACTAACTTCTATCACTTTTCTGTCCCAAAGCCTTTGGAGGGACGAGCAGGCTTGTATATGAAGTCACTCAGCTATCTTGCAACCTTTTGAAGGGATTACGTTCAATCGACGGGTTTTACTAAGGTCGTTCATGCAAGTTGTATGGCGTCCATCTTGTCGCCCCTGGTTTCTGGAAGCTTCGTGAGCTTTCAGTCTGTCAGCCAGTGGAAGGCAGCAATGGCAAATTCAGACCAGACCTCGATCGTCAGCCTGCACTGCACAAGATCGACTGTTATACATAGCTCTAGTTACGGCGCACAGCTTGGCGGCATGAACGGCCCTCGCTTGCGCTCATCAATAAAGTCCACGCGGTGCATGCGGCGTTGTCGTCAGAAAGCTGCACGCGCAATAACTAGAAATCACCAAACTCAGCCTAGGTCGGAGCGGTGGGGCCGTAATGCCTTGCGTATTTCACTCTTTTGATTCCAGTCTGCAGATAAAAAACAGCCCAGAACAGTCGAGGCGCTTATGTTAGGCTAGGGGTACCTCTTGCAGAGTTTGGTCTGGTTTCTCGATCCTAGGGCATGTGCCCCTGCTGAAGAGAACTTGACAGACCTCTTCGCTGCCTTCTCCTAGCTTACCATCGTACATGTTGCCTCTAGAAACCCTTCACTATTATTGACACGGTGCTATGATAAGAGAACTGGAATATGCGTAAAGATATTGGCTTCATCGACTCACTTCTAGGTCGCCAGCATCAAACCCACTAGGCTGAGTTCATCATTTCGAACGACTGGGCAGCAGCAAAGATATCGCGATTTGGAGAAGCTGTTCTTACGCAGTTTTGCGGCCGTATTAAAGCCTCTCATGTCTATCAGGCAGCGTGCAGGTAGGTATATGAATTTACTACGAAATACGATTAATATGAGCCCGAGATAATGTATTCGAGGCGCTCTAGCACGGAAATGCGTCTTGAACATCCTGAAGCGCTCGAAATACTGCTAGATTATCTGCTTCCCTCACGCCTTTTCACCGGTCATTGCTGTAGATGCCTAACCAACAAGTACGACTGGGAGACTTCGATACAGCAATAGCAAAAGTGGTCAGAAACGAAGGCAAATAAGCCTTCGTGACGGTCCAACACCGGCCGCTTGGCTGGGCTGCTTGAATTAGAGGAATACGCGACATCTATATCGGCTTCTGATAAGATATTGCCAGACATTCGCAATACGCGAAGAGCTTACCGTATTATGAACGACTTGGACTGGTCGCGTTACTTCTATTAATATTGCGGAGATTTGCAGCCGTTTTCGAACCGGCGTAGAACAGGCTTCTCGGCCCTCGTTCTGCCAAAACCCCAGGTCTGGTATCATGTTCTGGCCTATAGTACTCTGAGGTGGTCCCCTGAACGATAGCTTTGACAGAACGTTTGAGTTGTTCTTATCAACGTTCTTTGCTTGTCAAGACCAGTGGGGTATCTATCTTGTAACAGAAAAGACAACGAGCATAGTTTCAACGCACTCATTTAGTTTTACTCCTATATCTAGGGCTGTTTGTTTCAGGACCGTTCTGTTAACAGTAGCTTCAATTAACATAAACCGTTACTGAGATACTCCTCGCGACCTAAGACTGCGATTCTGCACACACATCACTGAGTGCGGAACGTTGCTGTTGTGAATGCGAGCAGTGTTGTCGACAGAGCACTTCTAAGCCACCACATACAAGAGTACACAGTCGAGACGCGGTGCCATCGCTAGTTCCACGGCGTTGTCGCCCAGTGTCAACTGTGGAGATCCGTCAGCTAGACGTGTAGTCACAGGGCACCCTGCAGGCAGCTATCCAAGGAGCTAATGACTTTCTACTCAGCCTTGCTGAAGCGAAACGCCTTCGTTACCAAACTATGGATGTCCGCTCTAACGATTTGAGCGGAGCAGGCCGTACCGTAGAGAAGATGGGCGCATAGCGTGAGCTCGTTAGCATCAGTCGCGCCACTCGCTTCGAATAACCGTTGTGCAGGCCAGGTAATCCCGCACTTGATGTCATAAAACAACGTGTTATAGACGAGAATTTGTGCACACCAGGTCAATTCGTGCTTCGGCTTGGCATACATACATCTGCCACTGCAGGTGGCGAACCTGGATTGTCCGTGGTCATGGAGCAGCACATAACGTGCATTACCGAAGTGGATATGAGAATAGACTGTCATACGAAAATCGTCTAGGTCTTCAGCGTCAGCGTAAGCGAGTTGCTTAGGGGACGGTCTTTTTTTATGCTCGTTCTCGTTGAGTAATCGAGCAGAAGAGAGAACATTTGGAAGCGGCCAGAATCCCTCTTCAGCCTCTTACTTAACATCATATATGTACCATGACAGGTGTGTGTACATGAAAGGGATGTGAGCGATCAGCGCAGGCTGCGACAAATGGAGGATAATTCGCTGGGGTGCAGATGACCGGCAGCATGGCGGGTAGCGCTGGTTGTCAGGGTACTCGGGCTGCGACCAAGGAATGGCTGTCCCGTGGTGGTCGCGTCGAGAGGAATCTGGGCGATGGCGGAGACTGCCAGGTCCCGTGCTGTCAGCGGCTCGTCTGCTAACGGACGCACTGCAACACGGGCTGCGGTCGCCAATCACAACCTGGCACCTTGTTCTGATCGCTCAGCAACGGGAAACGGGCGAAGGTGTGGTAGTAGGTGGGTCCTGAGCACGGGCAGGTACCCCAAGGTACTTGTTGAGCCGGCATCGGTACGCCGCTTTTCTTAAGACGCCGCATATAGGGTCGGGATGGCACCGATCAACCAATATGGCTTTTGATTGCGAGTCTAACCTGCAGCGAAAATTCTGGGATGTATCCGTTCGAGCCCGCGGCAACGAAGATCCAGCGGCTTTCGTGGACTGTGCTCAACGTGGAATGTTGGTGTGCAGCAAGATCCTGGTCGTGCAGGGGTGAATTGCTCAAACTGGAGATGGGAGAACGGAAGGCGAGTTGACCATCTCAGACTCCTGGACGCACGCACGCACGAACCTGCGTGCCCTGCTGCCCATCTCGTTTGCAGCATGTGGCCAGAGACGTCTCTGACGCACGATGCAGCTGGTCCCGGAGAAAGGACCTGTCTGCCCATGCCGATTCGGTATTCTCACCCTGCACCTCCAGGCACTGGACAGTTCTGTATTATACCCCACTGCGTCCACTAAGATCCAGCGGTAAGGCGGAGACAGTAGCGACCGAGTGCTATATGGTACCCCAGGCGCACAGCAGTGGTCAAAAGACGGCGTGTGGACAACTGACCTGCATATCTTTTTTTGACGTCCCTCGACGACATAACCTTGGAACCCAGTCCTGTGCTGACACCTCTCAGCCTTGTTGCCAGCTCTTCGCCCTTCGCCACCCGTTGAACAATCTCAACTCCGACTGCATTGTTGCTCCTCCCGTCATTGACACTTCAAGATCTGCCCTCGAGTGGTGGAATTGTGGTGGAGACGGACGCTAGAACGCAGTTATGCTTTCCACGAATCTCCATCAATACCCCTCGGCGTTCAGCCACCTCCCCGCCCCGAACATGGTCGAACATCAACATCATCATCTTGCCGCCCAGCATATGGCACAGTCTCCACTCGACACCCTCGCGCATACATCACAATACGCAGGTCTACAGTTCCACCAAAATCGGCATGTATTACCAAACGGCAAAGCCATTGTCAAGCCTCATCGATTGCCGTACGCCAGCGGTCCAATAGCGCCTCGACACCAGCGAGAGATGCTCCACGAACGATCAGGACGAGGTAACTCAACATCTGGACCCGTACGACGTAGGATCAGTCGGGCTTGTGATCAGTGTAACCAGTTACGAACCAAGTGCGATGGTAGACAATCTGTAAGTCTTCACGCAGACTTGCACCTCGTGAACAAGCATGCTAATAAGCTGAGCAGTGTGCGCATTGTATAGGTACGTTTTGAATGAGTATGAAAAGGTCGGCCACGATTGAACCGAGATGATAGCCATCTAGCCAGATCACCAAAAGTCACTTTTGTAACGTGCGCTAGAGGCTCTTGGATCATCTGGCTAGAGCTGCTGTTCACTTCTCATCACTCAGGTACTACCGCGCCTGACAGCTTGGCTAACACTATATCAGAATTCGGAT